CTTGAGAATCTAAAGATGGAAAATTTATTCCTGAGCTGATGTGCAATATTAGGCGACTTGCTTTTCATCTCAGTATTTGTTTCTGCCTGCAGAAACTAGGGATAATTTTATTTCCTTCTGTCATGTTTGAAAGGAAAATGCCTAGTCACATCATTATTCTTTACTGAATGTTCATAGACATCATAGAATGATGCTTCATTCATTTGTATTTATATATTCTATCCATCTGGTTTTGGAAGCAATATTTTGTAACATCTTAAGTCTGATGCAGACAGTGTTTTGCTTGTGTTGTACATGTCATCTTTCACTGAGATCCCATCATTTTCCCTGGGAATTTACTCATCCCTTAGATCATAAGGTGACAGACCGACAGTGACAGACCTAATTGAACACACTTCCATCTTTAGAGTACACCGATGATGCAAAGATTTACCTGTGGTCATGAAGGGAACGTGTGCAGACTCTGTTTCATAAAGAAACACTGTGTATGCCATTCTCCTCAAGAGTGTGTCTTTTGTACCTACAGGAGTGATGAGGAATGCACAGAGTTTGCATTCCTCCAGATGCATTATCTGAAACTGTGTCCCTCTGTTTGCTTTACTTCTGTTTTGTTCAACTAGTCCTTCCTTGTAAAGGGAGACGTGTTTATACATTCCATTTTTCTTGGTCTTCTTGGCATCTCACAGTCAAACACTACTCCAGATTGATCCCTTGATTAACAGTGTAGTGGAAATACAGTCTGTGTCAATTTTAGGAACAGATGAAAGAGTGTACTCGCCATCTGATGATTTCATTTCTAGCTTTCCAGCACCTTTTGTTATTTCAGGGTATTTTTTCCTGGTGGGAACAGGCACATTCAGCTGTTGTTTTCATGCTGAAAAACTGTCTGGAAGCACTTCCTTTTTTTTTTTTTTTTTTTTTTTCACCAGACATGTCTTTCAGCATGTTACCAAAGGCTTGGAATCAGCACATTGTGTTGTGACATGTGCATACTTGACATTACTTTGTTCTCTGACTTCCTTTTGCTTGCAGTCTTTAGGAAGTTATCTTACAATTAGCAAGGAATTTTGAGTCAGTGTTATTGCAGACCCAGCATATTGTCCTCTGCCATCTGCAAAGAAGAAAGCTTGGAAGAGCAGGAGGGAAGAAAGCAATTTAGTGTTTTTAACTGGCTGAACCACATAGGATTCCAGCTTCAGTTCACTGCATAGTCATAGCTCTGACTGCAGCCAGCTGAGGAAAAAATTATCATATTACACACTACAAACATTGTCTTAATTAAATGAATTAAAGGAAAAGCTAGGGCATTACAGTAACTGTCCTCAGATTTCATTTAGTGCATCCTTTTTCTGTGTTTTGCTCTGGTTTAGTTAGTGTCTCATCATATAGCAAAAGTGAAAAGGTATCTTTTTCCTAAGAAGTTTATACAGAATTGATTTGGTTTTGGTTCTCAGCTTTGCACCTTTATGTAAATGAAGCCTGTTCACTTATCCTGTAATCAAAGCTAATTAAAAAAAAACTAAACAACAAAACCAAACAACCAAACCCCAAAAACCAAAACAAAAGCCCCACAAAACAAAAACCATACAGGCTTTGTTTGGTCTCAGTGGCAAATATGTTCACTTTTAGTTGGCTGAAAAGCACATCTTTTTCTAGTCCTATTCTTGTTCTTCTTGCATTTTAGACTATCAGCCTCCTGGAGTGCATACAAGAAGCCAGCTTGTTTTTAAGCTTGTCTTCCCTGTCCAGACAACATAGCTCAAGAAACAGAGGAATGACTGCACTTTAGGCATGAGGGGATAGACTGAGAGCATGTTTGGAAAAACTACCACGGGGTAAGCCCTAGTTTCCCGCAGCCCAGTTAGACACTACTTGGCTGTGCTCTCTGTGTGTCGGGTGGATGTGAGGCTTGGGCAAAGAGCAGCTTCAAGACAGAAGCTTCCCATGGCAGCAGGATGCATTGCCTCTCAGGCAGTGCCTGTGTGAAAGGCAGGGATCCTAACAAGGCTGTGGGCTGGTCTAGGTGCCTATTTATGCTTCATACAGCAATACTGAGAACACCATTAACACGGCAAACATGCTGAAATCCTTACCCTTGTGTCCAAAGAAGGGTTAAAGTAGCAATAAGAAACTGTGCCAGAAAGAAAGCAACCACAGATACATACCTCTTTTAATGTAACAGAGACCTTCTCAACTGGTAACTGCATTTGTAGCCAGCTTCTTCCTTCTGATACAAATCTTGTTATGCCTGCGCAAGTCTTGAAGACTTGGCCTGAGGTCTTTAAATCTCATTGACTGTCAAGATCAAACGAGGTGCCTAATCTGGACGGGAGTCTGGGACATACCTTGTGGTCAGCTGCTTACGCTTCAGTGAGACATTTTGTAGACCATGATATGATCTGTATCTGTGTTAGACTTCCCTGAACATTAGCTTACTCTGGGCATAAACACTCAAGTTTTAACATTTTGACATTATTGTGTAATAAATGTATGATTTATAATAGCATCATCCAGGCAAATACTGTTTATCTATTGTGGGAGAAGTGGGGAAAGCATCTCCCTAGTGAGTGTTTTAAGTAGCTTTTTATTTACGTGCCATAGTATACACATTATATTATTTGGAACAAAAATATTTGTTGTCAGGAGGCCTCATCTTCCTGAAGGGGAAAGATATTTTTCCCTTAGAGTCAGTGAAAGTGTAATAGAACCTCTGTTTCAGCCTTCAAAAAGGGCTTTTTACAGATACACACAGATCTCAATGCTTCAATAAGGAATCTCTGTTTTCCATTGTGCTAAGACATGTCTCCATCTGCTCCCCTAAAAGACACAACTTGAATATGTCTACAGAATGTGGTAGAGCATAATGCAGTGACATCCAAATAAACAGCAGCCAAACTAATTGCCAAACTAGGTGCTGGTGCCAGTGAAGGGCTCTGCTCGAGCTGTGAGACCAGTTTCCAGAAAGCACTGCATAGACAAACCAGGATTTCTCACAGATAGGTTAGATATTTGTGCACCATATTCCTTGGCACTGAAGGACAGTTGAGTCCATCAGAGTAACCGGAAGTTGTAAATACTGAGCAATTATTCAACTACTGAGCAAGACAGAACTGTTTGGATCCCAAATTTTGAAGTATTGCTTAATGTTTTTCATTATGAACTTTCCCAATGAAATCTGTATTTCAGATCACTGTATAAGAGGAAAAGAGTATCAAAGGCTGTGCAAAGACTGACAGTTTGCAACACAACGAGGAATAAAGTCTTAAAGTACATATTTGCCAAAAATACAGCATTAAGAATTCCTGTAACTGAAACAGAGAAAAGAAGTTTATGGTGCAAATTCTAACATAAGAAAATTGACAATAACAAAATGGCTAATCCGTGAAAAAGAGGGGGGTTTTAATGCTGGGAGTTTTAAGGTTTTGCTTGTCTATTCAAAAAGTCCCTACAATTCAGTTTGTAACTCCATAATCTAAGGATTACACTATATGGAGCATAAAACCAACCAAAGCAAAGAGAAATTTGCCTCTCCCTTGCAAATCTGCTTTCAGTCATTCAGTAAATACTTCCTATTAGTGGTATTTTCCTGCAATATAAACAGCATTATAGGTGCTCACTCATGACATCTACACAAATTCGAAGTTTGCATAATGTCCTGTCCTGCATGAAACACACCTTTATATTAAATAAGGTGTCCTTATATATTAAATAATTCCTTCTGTAATATATTTTCCACACATAGACATGCAAATCGATATACTAGAATAATAATTAATTGTATATAGTGGCAGATTCAGGATATTCCTCTAAAAACTGCTTGGTCTATTTATTTTTTTTTAACAGAATACATCTGAATAATCTATCTTTTTTCGGCACTAGTGTCATTTATTAGTGTTATCTAAGTTGTACTACTTTCCTTGTCACATCATAAGTTAACCTTTCCTAATCACTACCCTGGACATTTACCAGGCTTTCCCTGGGGATGTGTTTAACTAGAGCCATGATTTTCCTGTTATTATGTACTCCAGTGCTCTGAAAGCTCATGTTGATTCTACTCAGAGACTGTAAATAATTCCATGTGAGGCTGATGCTAGGGAACTTAATACACTAAGTGGATATATGTCTAGTTTAAATGAACTCCATGGCTGGTAGTGTGGCAAGATCCTCAAAGAATCCTGCCATTTGCTCCACTTGCTAAACAGTTGGCAGACCTTCCTTGTCAGAGCTTAATAGAAATGGCTTAAAGTCTTCTGTTCTCAAAACACCTAGTTTTTCTTCCCTAGATACCCTTTGTTGGCTTTGCAAAGCTCTATGGCCCGCACATGGTATGGACAGTACACCAGTGCTACACTTCTCCAAATCTGCACTGGATTTAAGCTAGTTTCTTGAGCATCTGTGTAAGCTAAATGTGTGGCTTTCCCTATCAGTGCTTTCGTATGACTCCCACAGGAACCCTCCTCAGCCAGCTGTCATGCACGTGGGTTAAAAGAGTGTGGGGAATATTACTAACATCTCCTAAATCTGCAGCCAGCTGCTTGATCCTAACCACGGGAAGCAAGCAACAAAATGGCAGAGATCCTGGGAAAAGTAGTACTCGTTTTGAAAGTACTACGAGGAAGCACCTAGGCTACAGACATGTTACTGCCTGAAAATTTAATCCAAAAGCTCAAACAAGACCTTGAAGACCAAGAGAAGTGGTTCAAAAAAACCCAACTAACCAAGCAACCAACCAATAATCCCCAGTTTTCATTAGCAGACATATTGACCGAGCAGAGTTAAGAATTCAACATCTATTCTCTTGACAGATATTTTTCAGCTTTAGCAGGGCAAGTTGTTGCCAATACATCTAAGCCCCAGAATTTTTTAGACTAGGAAGGGAATCAAAAAAAGAGACATCCAGCTGTGCTGAATTAAAACACTGCACTTAAAATGTCCCATCAATCACAGAGCAGGAGAGTGCTGACGTTATTTGTATGAAATGTGAGAGTGCTGTTACTCACCTGCAATTAAGAAGAATAGTTTGATTTGGTTTCTTGCCGAGAGTTATGTGAATATTTTCCATTTTGCCAGGTTCTGAATTTTGCCAGCTTCCATAATCTGAAGGTAGCATTCCAGGTTCTGACTAAACCATGAACAATGACACAATACAAGTCAGATAATTTTAGAGGGAAAAATCATTCTTTTTCTGAAACCCAAATTATAATTCCATTTTCTCCATTCACATTCTCTTCAATGGGCAGGCTTGCAATGTCATGAAAACACAATTTTAATTGGCACATTTTTTGGCACAGTCTGAGAAGAGTCCAACATCTGTATGGAGACTGAATTTTTCTATCCTCCCTAGACTTGGGCCCTCAAGGCATGGATTAAGATGAGACACTAATGGGGCAGCATGCAAAAGCTTGTATTATTGGGATAGATCTCATTCATGGATAAAAAGAAATAGGAACCTTCAAACTTACAATTTTAAATGAGAGCAAACCTACAGATAGGGAAAAAAAGAGTCAGACAAGGATCTAAGCTAAGATTGGTAATGTAATAAAAGCATAGGAGCCATCTAGGGGGGATTTTGACTAGATTACATCTTCCAATGTTAGGAACAAGAAGTCCACAAGGCTTTGAGTGCAGGCTTATACCATGTCTGAATCATTTCATACACATGAATCATTTCAAGTGCATTAAATGCACAAGCAAGGGCAAGTAAAGAGAGCTATTCTGAAGATAGAAGCTTGTTGGGTAAATGCCTCAGGTTCAATTGTTTTCCAGGTTCAAATTTACAATTTTCTCCATATTATGCTAATTCTTTTCAGCCGACATTAAGCATGCTTTGTACCAAATTCATAGACTTTGATAATGTTCATCAGAGTAAGCCTATGCAAAAGCTCTGGGATATCAAAAATAATTTTTACTCACTCCCAGGAACATTTGCTCGAGGTTTTGTCTCCCAGCAAATAAAAATACTTTGGAATACTCACATCAGTAAAAAGTAATTAGAGAGAGGAGTATCCATGCAGCTATCATAAAGCTGTTTGTTGATTCAGGTCATGGGAGCTTCAAAGTATGTGCAGGACCAGCACACTTGGGTCTGGGTGTAAGTTTCAGCTGAGCCTTGGTGCCATATTTGACCCATATCCAGGTGTTCATATGCCCATCCCTTCACCTGGGTTTCTGAAGGAAAGAAATCAAGTTTGAGAGCCTGAAGGGAGCTGTAACTTGCCTCAGTGAGGCTCCTGTTTGCAGTCTTGTGCTTCAGAGGACCCTATGTGGCACTGACCTAGGACAAGCAAATAGAGCCAAGAAACTTATGTGTTGCAAAACCAGGCCTTTTTGATATCCAGCTGAGGAAAAATAACCACATTAAACTGTGCTCATCTGTCAAAACCCTATTCCAGAAAAGAAGGTATGCTGTATCCCTTGAGCTTCCTATCTCCATTTTCTCTTTAACACATGGCTGACTTCTCATACAGAGCAACTGTCTGAAGGCCTCATTTCTGTAGTTTCCCCATGTTATAATGCAGGGCAAGGTTACTGATAATGCTAGTAGGTAGTGCACATAAACACTGGTTCCTTTTACTGCATCACTCACTCTTCCGTAGGGTATTCTTAGAGACTTTCAGTGTCAATTACAAGAAACCATTTAAATGTTTCATCCAGAGAGATGATGTTAAAAAGCAATGACTAATCAAGGTCTTTAAAAACACAAAGTACTTTTTATGTAAATCCTTCTATATCAGTTCCCTTCTGTGTGGCCTTTTCCTATTTCCCAAACTTCTTGAGGATGTTTTGAGGGCTTAGATAATGGAGTAACCTGTCCTTTTGTAGCAGAGAGACAGAATGATTTGAAACTAGGTTATCTAAGAGTCATATCCTGCCATTGATTTTTTTCAGTGCTCCCAATTGATTTCAGAGGTGAGTTCCATGTGCAGATCAATACCAGGATATGGTCTTTATTTATTAGTACATTTCTGGTCATTTCACTCTACCCTAATGCCTCAAAACATATGGAGCTAATTACAGCATTTAACATTACATTGGTTTTCTTGTCTTTAGAGGAGTTAAGTCTTCATTTGGTCAACAGAATAATTTGAAAGGATTGTTTGGTGCCTTCTGTCATTGATTCAGAACTAGATCCTGTGACACACTATTTTAGGGCAGGACTGAAGCAGAGTAGCAGAGACACATGACTAAGCACGTCCTTTGACTAACCAGCAGCTGCAAATGAGCAGCAGTACTAAATTCCTGGTAGAAGTTTCAAATGGTGTTTTCACAACCAGAAACTTTTTGTGTTGATTCAGTGATCTGATTCTCCTGACCTAGTCCAACATTTTAAAGACTTCATGTACTAAAGAAATATATGTCAGGCACTTGGATGAAAGTTCACCTAGTATAAATTTCTGAACTTCATCAATATCCTTTATTTATCAGGTCAGGAATACAAGAATTGCATTTTTCAAGAAGTTCACTAGGCATTAGAGGGGATCCCAATGTGTATAACCATCTCAAACATGAGTGCCAGAGGGACGGTGCCAGACCCTCTTCAGTGCTGCACAGCAACAGGATGAGGAGCAATGGCCATAAACTAAAACACAAGAAGTATCACCTCAACATAAGGAAGAACTTCTTTACATTGAGGGTGGCAGAGCACAGGAACAGACTCCCCATGGAGGTTGTGGAGTCTCCCTCTCTGAAGACATTCAAAACATACATTCCTGTGAAACCTGCTTGAGGTGGCCCTGCCTTGGGGGCGTTGGACTAGATGATCTCCAGAGGTCCCTACCAACCCTAATGAGTCTGTGATTCATGTACTTTTCAAGTCCTGGCGCTTGGAGCCCCAGCTGACCTGGAAAAAGACTGTATGTATTCTCAAAGTAGCTGCCAAGAACAGAATTGTCAATGGCTCCGGCTCACTGATAAACCTTAGGCTCCATGCTGCAGCTGGGTCCTCTTCTACCTATAGCTTTACTATATTCAAGCAGTGCAGTAGTTTATAGCCTATGTGATGACGGCAATGGCAGTTTGCAGGTCCCAGGTCTGATGCAGATAACTGCTCAATAACTGGGATGTGAATTGTCTTTCAAGAGACAGTGCCTTTTCATTTATCTCTTTCTCCACTGATGCAGGCATAGGAAAGAATTAGCCATGCGCCTAATTTGAATGTTCTGCCTCTCAAGAAATCAAACCTTATACCTAGTTATAACATTTGCATGGCCAAAATACAACTCTATATTAAAAAGCAGGGTAAATAAAACACTTCCTTCCTATGTGCTGCTCCTACGTTACCTTTCTAGAGACTCTGTAAAAAAGCACCAAGATAATCATTCTTTGCATTCAGAAGGCTCTTTAAAAGCAGAAAAAAACCAAATAATCTTGTCATTACTTCTAGACTTACCTTAGAGGCATAGTAAAAGATGAACAGCCCAAAATTTTTCATCTATTATATAGTCAGTGCATCCTAGTATTTTGGATGCAATAAACCACCTTTCAACTACTGCATGTATCTAGGTGTGGTTATTTAACTGAAGAGAGTAAAGGAAGAAACGAGCAGGAGGAAAACAGAGCTTCACCATTTGCTCCACTGCCTTAGAGCCTTAGGAAAGTCAGTACTCTATTGACTTTGCTTCTCTTGTGCTCATTTACATCACCAGAGAGTCTGGCCTGTGCTTTAAGAAAATACTGTTCCTTTTCAATTGCTAAATAGTGACAAAGTCCAGGCGACCCTAGTGCAGAGTCTGAGTGGTTTATGTCAAGCCTAGAGACAGTGACTCATGGAGTCACAGATGATCAGTTGATAAATGTCACTAGTATCAGAAACTTGGCCATTAACATGAGTGATGTGAGAACTAAGAGGTTAAGTAAAAGCTACCTTCATAATGAGTGTGCGATACAGAAAAGCAACATCATGATCCAGGCTTGGATTTTTGGTTTTGTTTCTCATTTCCCCTTAAGGTGGATTTGGTTTTGTAACTTTGCTTGTGACTTTGTTTTGCAATTTTTTTTTTTTTAATGAACATTTTTCATGGGCTTATTTTTTCAGAAAAGTCTACAGGAAATGTTAGAACAAGGTTAAGATGAACCAGGGGGTCAACTCATTTTTTGCAACAGTCTGCTGCAACAACGCAGTCTGTTTGCAACAAACTGCTAGGTTTGGAATTGTCTTAGCTTCAAAGTGACTTAGGAGCTGGTTTTGCAAATGTTTCTAGAAAAGCCTAAGCTGCCTTCATACATACATTACAAGCAATGAGTTCCCTTATCTACAGTTAAACATAAGAGTGAGGACTTTGCTGAAGCAGGGCCCTGACAAAATCTTCCAAAGATTTATTGCTTAAATTTAAGCAGTCAACACTTTACATATTCACTCTGAGTAGCCTTCTTAGTTGCATTCCAGGAATTCAAGTAATTGTGTCCAAATGGCATCCCACTTGAGGTACAGACACTTTTTTAATACTCTGATTTAAAGCAAAAAAAACCTAACAAAAAAAAAAAAAAACAAAAAAAACCAAAAAACCCAACTACTTGGAAAGCTCTGGGAAGCTTTGGGTGGTTTACAACATACAAAGTAGTAGCTAGTATTTCATAGCAGTGACGACTACCTATGAAGCATACATGTAGAGTATGTATGATACATCTTTAGTGTACCATACATTTTGAGTCGTATCTCTTTCATCCATCTTTTTATAAGCTACACTGTGTTAAGAAAAAAGAAAAGATGGGTTTAAGCCACTAACATTATATACAGATTTATGATACAATTATCAAAGTATTTGAAGAAATAGAAAGGGTAAACTATCTTTGTGCCCTGTGGAAACTTTAGGCATAACAGAGAATACTCCTTTGAAGACTGAGTATTTAATATTGATCACACTAGTAAACATATCCCATTCTCTTTCAAGAGGAGAGTTCAAAGTACAATTGCTCCTCAGTGGGTAACATGGACCATTAACAGAAACACATTTAGCAGAAATAAATACTATACAATTATATTTCAGTTTCAAATTAAGTAAGTATTTATTTACCTTACCTACAAAGAAAGGAAGAAGGGTTTTGTTCTCAGTTTTCCTGTTCAAAAATATTTTAATTTATTATACAGTGGGAAATACAAAAGTAACCAAAACCAAAACGAAACATCATACGTTGTATTTTATCCGCATCTTCAATAAAACTTTATTTTGGTGGAGTAATGACATAAGGAAAACTTATTTGATCACAAGGGCAATCAATCACCGGAATAGATTGCCCAGAGGGGCTGAGGAATCTTCAACCCTGAAGATGCTCAAAACTTGACTGAACCAGCCCCAAGCCACCTGGTCTAGCTTGATGTGATCTGAGCAGGGAGATAGCACTCATCCTCTGGAGATCCTTTCCATCCTGAGGTGTTCTTTGTGTACATTTCCTATCTAGTAAATTCTTTTACTTCTTTAATAACTGGAATAATTTCCTCATAACCAAGGGATATTTCAAAAACAATAGGAAAGATGGGCAACGGCGATGTTATATGTGTTTTCACTTTCATCAAAGACAAGACCAAAAAAAAAATCAGGCAAGAGAAAGCAGGTATCTCTCAAGAAGTGGTTCTACAGATAATTTAGCAAGTTTCTTTACCTTCTTCTGCAGACAGGGAAATGGTGGTTGCTGAATGATGTCCAATGAGATTAATAACATATATGCTGACAGATGCTCCAAATAAAGTGTCAAAGGATGATTCCCAGAAATACTGTGTAAAACTGCTGGGGATAATTGTTATCTGATAAGTTACTGCACATTACCAATTAGTTGCCTGTGAGACACTGAATCCATTAGGTTTCCTATTTGTGAACTCTAGAGGATTCTGTAATTGACAGTCTCAATATATCACTGGTCAAAATGATGCTCTATCTACCATAAGTGCGCTGAAACAGCTAGTTAATAGGAAAAAAAATTGTATTTTAGACAATTAAATTCTCATGGCATAATTAAAGGAATGAAATATTGTTCTTGGATTTCAGAACCAGATAGAAGTGAAAGTTTTATCCCAAAGCATAAAACTGAACTGTAAAATGCAACTACATTTTCCATTAAAAAATAGAAATTACTAGGAATTAAAACTACTTTTTGCCTCATACAGTGCCATTAAAAGATGCAAATTCTGACTTTTTTCTTTTTTGATAATAATGATATTCAAAGCAGCTAAAGTTTTGAGAAAAGGTATTTGATAACAACCTTCTGAATGTGTTCTTAGACTTCCATGTAAAATTCTTAACTACTAACAAAGAAAACTATAATCATCTTCATGT